TTTATAGTTTACAAACAACGCTGATCCATGATCCATTCTTCTTAATAATGTTGTAGTTGTATAAATATACAATGCACCCCTTGAGAAATCATATTCTAGATCATTGAATTAAAATTTCGATCTCTCGCATGCCTCTCCATCATGTCGTTCCCTGGCTTTCATGGTCCCCCTCGTGAGCTTCAGATTAATGGTACAACACTGCGACAATATAACCCTACTACTCCTCCTCCTCCTCTACCTTCGCGTTTCTCGGCGTCTTGTATATTCATGGATTTGGATATGCAGGTATTGGAGGAAACTGACATTTTATTTTGTGATTCGTGTGTGTGAAGTCCTAGAATGCAACATTACCTCCGACACTTCGATTCGGCTATGAGCCAACTGAGTGTACTTATGCCTCCAGTATGGCAGCAAGGAGTTTGTGATCAAGAGCACATATATAGGTGAGTAGTGTTATATATATATATATATATATATATATTATATGTATGTATATCAAACATGTTATTACAATTGGCTTATATATGTAAGAGATTGAACTAAGAACCCATTATTTCCTGGCTTTTGCCTAAATTGAAGCTGCAGATGGGGGAATTAATCCAAGTTTTCAGGATAAGATCATTTTAGAACTCACGGAAATCGCCAGGGAGCTCATCGTTGTTGTTGCCAAGAACAGGGCTTTCGCTCCCGATGAAATTGTGGGCACTGCAAAGAAATTTATTTCCCACCTCAACTTTTCTGAACCCTTCAAATGATCTTTTAGAATCATGCATGTTTTTGAGGGACTACAATCAGTTAATAATAACGTAATGTTTCTTTTAGGATTCCACTGGACGCGGTTCCCTCAACAAGTTCCGTGAGTGTTCCCCTGTGCCCTCCAAAAGGGAAATACCAGCTGGTAAATGAAAACATATTATACAAACTCTGATCTCTATAAAGAGTTTCGAATTTTCAAAATATAAAGAACTGAAACTGATATGAAAGTGTCCGTTGGCAGCCGCGCAGGTGAACTAAAACTGAGATTGGAGTTGAAGAATAATGCAAATGCCAACGTGAGCTATATATACATGATTTCATTTGACTAGTTCTAATCATCTCTACATATACTTTATAATTGATATATATTGTTGAATTGAGTTGCAGACACCTGGAGGTCCAAGAGTTCCGTTATGGGTGGCAGGAGGTTATACTAACCTTCAAGCTGCACCGTCACGTTATAGTCAGTCTTTAGCTGTATATCCGCCATTTCCATATCCGCCTGCAAACGCAATGCCCTATTACATTCCTTCATCGCCGTCACCTTATTATCCTCCGCCACCCCGACAACATCAGCCTCTTCTCGATCCTCAGATCATTCTGTCTCATGGAATTGGAGGTGTTGTGGGTGCTTTTGTCGAGCAGCTTATCCAGAATCTCAATCTGGATCTTTCTCAGTACTTCGGAGGACTAGGTTATAATAATTAATATCCCACCAGCATGAAAGCACAATATGGATCCTAGTCTTTCCAGGGGTTGTTGTAACATAAATAATTCCATATTTCTTGTGTCTCGTTCTAAGCTTATTCAGAGTTTTCTAAACTTTATGTAGCTTTCGTAATAAAGTGGAAGTTGAATTTATGTGCTGTAATCTTCGCTCTGAAAGTTATGCATTTAATTTTCGGATTTATTAGCTCCGTGTTGCATGTTATCTCGTCAAACATACAGAAACAGAGTGATAATTCACAACTGGTGCCGGCGCGTGGAGCCTCTCAAATTAATCTCTATCAAGTCGATTATGTCTTAAAATTTAAGTAATTAGTTTAATGAGGATATTATTTATATATATGTATATACAAGTTGGCTCAAATTGATTTCACTCGAGAACAAATTAATGAAAAATGAAATTCAGTCCAAAAAAATGAAAGCACTAATGAAAAATGAAAAGGATGGTGGTAGATAACAAAAACACGAATTACAGACTCACCCAAGGCCACAGTATTGGTTTTTAGTCTCTTGACGCGGGCTTCAACCCATGGAGTGACCAAAAAATATAGGACCTTCAGGTCCACAGAGAGAGTGTAAAAAAACCAAAACCAAGAGCATGGTAATCGAGTGCAGGCCCATTTTTCTAAATTGACGGACTTTGAAGAAGAGCATCTTGCTTACATTTTATTTTCTTCCACTAATTAGCTGAATAACATAACAAATTAAAGTTTGAATTTTTATGATGAAAAGTTTCATATTTAGTATATGATAATATATCGAATTAATTGATTCTGATAGGAGAATACTTATGTATAGGGAATAAAAAGATATTCCTTCTATTAAAATTTCAATCTTATGCTATCATTTATACCTAGCATAATTCTTGTTTATGACAACAAGTGAAATACGATTCAATTATGTTAATTTAATCATCAAATATTAAAGCTTGAGAAGCACTCAAAAGAGAACTCAAGTCATAATTGAACAGGAAAAGATGGGTTAGGAGGATGAGTTGGGTAATTCACTAATTCATGAAATTCTACAGTGTGAATGATTAAACTGGAATTGAAGGGTGCGTTTTCCAATGATATTCATTTTCAAAGTCGTTGGGGGAAGTACCTTGTACAAGTAAGTGTACCAGATACAAATCCCTTCCTTCTTGTTTTTTTTTGACCAAAAAATTCCTTCCTTCCACACTATTGTACTATTTTAGGTGACTCTGAGTCAATGATCACCATCACTTTATACGATTATTTCTTTTTTTCTTTATACATACATACATATATATATATATATATATATCTCTCTGTAAATCTCGCATTGCTTATGTGATTCTACTGAAAAAACTTGTACATACAAGAGTGACAGACAGCAAGTCTCTCACTTTACTCTCTCCATCATCACCTCAATGATTTGTCCCTTTCCACCTTCCATTGCACCCAAGCCCCAAAAAATATACGGACCTCCAGATTGGCAGTGTGGGACTCATTTTATTACTCCTTCACTCATCTCATTCCTTTGTCATGAATGTGCCTTTGTGCTTGCGAGAATATCATATTACCTACTTGCTCAGCTGCTCCAATTAAGCTAACCTTCCTCTGTCCTCCCATAACCAAACACCATCCCTAAATCCAGATTCATGCCCTCATAAAACACCTAACCCATGCTTCATTCTTTTCATACTTAAAAATAATTGATTTTTGATTGAAAGTAATAACAGTTAGATCTATAAGATAATGTTTGCCAAGACAGAAGGAATGTAAGAAAAGAGATGAAGAGAGAGAGAGGAAAAGGTAAGAAGTGAAAGAAAGTTGTTTGATGAAAACAAGATAAAAATATGGATAAATTCGATTCCCTCTTTTTGGATTATGGGCTGACAACTAAGTTGGACCGTTCTTGGTAAAGGTGAGCCCATAAAGCCCAGAAAGCAAAGGAATAAATAAAGAGAACAGGAGAAGGCAAAAAAAAAAAAAAAGAGAGAAATGAATAGCAGAGGAGCAGAGCAGGAGGGTGTGTCTGCCTCAATGCCCTGCTTCCAAGCGTCTTTATTTAGGTTTACAAGAGGTTCTTTTCACTGGGTCCAGCTTGGTTTGTGTGCCCTTAACATTTCTGCCCTCCAACTAAACACCGAAAGCAGCAACTAAAGTGTATATACATATACATATATACACACACACACTATATAAAAGACAAGCGTGAAACCCACTCACCTCTAAATTCAATATCTACTACTGCTCCTACTTTTCTTCCTCTGCCCCTCACCAATTCTCTCTTCTGCTTCCCCATTACTGAGACACACACACAGATAGAGGAAGAGAGAGAGAGAGACAGAGATGGGTGAGCTTCTGTGTCTTCACTTTTTATGATGACCAAAACACCATCACTAGCTCCCTCTCTTCTTCCCAGAAGAAGATGGCAATCCTCCACCATCACAATGACCAACTAGCTCACCACGAGAACTCTTCCTCTTTCCTTGATGCTCTTTACTGTGATGAAGAAAGATGGGAGGAGGAGGAAGTAGAACAAGTGGAAGGGAATAATGAGACTGGTTTTCTTCTTCCTCGGATCTTGTCGGAGCAAGACTTGTTCTGGGAAGATGAAGAGCTGAACTCTCTCTTCTCCAAAGAAGAAGAAGCTTGCTTTGATCTGGATGTTGATCTTTCTCTGGCTCGTCGTGAGGCAATAGAATGGATGCTTAAAGTTCATGCCCACTATGGCTTCTCTGCTCTAACGGCAACACTGGCCATCAACTATCTGGACAGATTCCTTTCGAGCTTCCATTTTCAAAGGGAGAAGCCGTGGATGATCCAGCTTGTGGCTGTCGCTTGCCTCTCTTTGGCAGCAAAAGTTGAAGAAACTCAAGTTCCCCTTCTTCTAGACCTCCAAGTACGTTAGACTAAAACAAAACAGGAAAAAAATAAAAACAAAAACTAAACGTGGTTCTGTTCTGTCTTTGGACATAATAAATTAACATGCTTTTGTTCTTCTGTTTCAGGTTGAAGATACTAAATGCATGTTTGAGGCAAAGACTATACAGAGAATGGAGCTGCTTGTTCTATCAGCCCTGAAATGGAAGATGCACCCAGTAACGCCGCTCTCTTTTCTAGATCACATCATAAGGAGGCTTGGATTAAAAACTCATCTTCACTGGGAATTCCTCAGGCGCTGCGAGCATCTCCTGCTCTCTATTCTTCCAGGTAAGCGACTAAGATTCAATTCAAAAACAAAAAAACAAAAAGAACCAACCTTTCACTCCCAAGATTCCTTATTGTTTGGTATGTGTGTGTTTTATCGGGTCTAGATTCAAGATTTGTGGGTTATCTCCCATCGGTGTTGGCTACAGCGACAATGCTGCGTGTGGTAGACCAGATTGAGCAGAGTGAAGGAATGGAATATAAAAATCAGCTTCTGGGCGTTCTTAAAAGTAACAAGGTATGGGCTTTTCTGGGGGTACAATATATTCTTAACCAAAGCTGCTATACATATAATTAATGCACAATATATGATAAGCACATGATTTGATCTGGGAGTAACTTTAGGTATTTTGGTTCTGTCACTGTTACAGGAGAAAGTAGACGAGTGCTATAATGCGATACAGGAGATGTCAAAGGGCAATAATTATTATAATTATGGGCATAACAAGACTAAGAAACGAAGATATGAGGAAATTAGTCCGGAGAGTCCAAGTGGCGTAATCGACGCAGTTTTTGGGTCTGATGGTTCCAACGATTCGTGGGCAGTGGGGTCATCATTATGTTCATCCCCAGAGCCACTGTTCAAGAAGACCAGACCCCAAGAACAGCAACAACAAATGACGTTGTCCCCGTTCAATCGGGTCATTGTCGGAATCGTTGGAGCGTCCCCTTGAAGAGATCTTTGATAAAAACAAACAAAACCACTTCAAAAAGGATGTTTTTATATTTACTGCGGTAATACCAAAATTCACTGTTCGTTCTTGCCGCTACATGTCTTCATTTCCAACAATGCCCATAGAAGAGGTGCAGAAGAACAAGGTGAAAGAGGAGGACAAAGTTGGCAATGAAGAATATATCTGCTGCTGTGCATTATATTCTGCATCTCTACTATATGTTTTCTCTTAGGCACTCTTTCTTTTCTTGATCTTCTTTTTTTTCCCCTTCTTTAAATGGATCTCTTCGGGACCATATTTTATTTGGACATACTTATATCTTTCATTCCATAATAAATTCAGAACAATTCTTGTTCACTTTTTGTTTGTGGTTTCACCTCACGTTGAATGCTTTCCTGCCTGGCTGGTATGATGTTTTTTTTTTTCCCCCAACCTGGAGATGAGAGCCCCATATGGTCCACTCGAAGCCTTTTCTTTTTTTTTTTGGTGGTCAAATTAATTTTTTTTCTCGATTCTCTATGGTTTCAAGCCTTGGTTTAATATTGGCAGAAGAAAATTTTATTCTTGACATTTACTTTTATTATATTAAGCATGTTAATACAGATACTAACTTGCTATACTAAAAAAATGGATATAGATGCTTTAATTTGGGATATGGTGAAAACAAATCTGTATTGCATGTGGAGGAGTGTTACATATATATTATAGGAATAAGGGCATTATTATTATTATTATTATATATGGATTGAATATTAGAAGAATTAAAGGGGTGATAATAATAAACAGGAAAAGAGAAATGTAGGGGAACAAGAGGTAGGGAGAAGAAATAGAGAATGGAGTAAGTAGGGAAGCATGTGAAGAGAGAAGGAAACTGTCGGCCAGTGGGTGAAAGGGTTTTGACCCTCCTTCCCTGGACCCCACCTTCACCTTTCCACTCATTTGTTCAAGTTTAAATTTGAACCCGCTTAACATGTTGGAAGAGAATGGCTCTAGAATTGGCATATCAGTCAGCCTTTCTTGGGCTTTTTGAGCCAAATGCTACAAACAGTAATTTTAATTACCAGGATACTACACTATGAAAATTATTTACCAGCATACTACATCCAAAATCGTTCAAGGCAAGTACGATTTTAAAAATACACAGAACTCGTTCTTTGAAAGAACGAGTTCCGCAGCTTCATTTTTTTTAAATAATTTTTTTTGGTAAAAATGCCTGCCGCCTACTCCCTATGGCTTGACCCTCCCTTTTTGCACCCCATCCCACTCCCCTCAAACATTTTCCTTCCCCCTTCACTTTTTCCCTCGTTCTCCCGTATACACACGCACACACATCACAAATTATTATAATTTTAATTTATATATAATATGATATATTTAAAAACTAAAATTAAATAAATTAATTAACACATATAATTCTTATTATAAAACCCAGCTAACTAATTTAAAAAAATTAAAGATATTACTAAAAATACATGTAATATATGCTAAAGCCATCACGTAATATATGTTATAATTAAATAATTTAACAATTTTCTTAATCATATAAGATATGCTATAATTAAATAATTAAATAATTTTTTAATCTTCTTAAATTAGATAACTATGTTTTATATTGAGGATCAGAGGTAGTAACAATTTAAAGGAATCATGTAAAATATACTATAGTTAGATAATTTAGTGATATCTTTAATTAACTTATATATAATATGATATATTTAAAAACTAAAATTAAATTAATTAATTAATACATACAATTATTTAGTAACAATTTAAAGGAATCATGTAAAATATACTATAGTTAGATAATTTAGTGATATCTTTAATTAACTTATATGTAATATGATATATTTAAAAACTAAAATTAAATTAATTAATTAATACATACAATTCTTACTATAAAACATAGTTATCTAATTTAAGAAGATTAAAAAATTATTTAATTATTTAATTATAGCATATCTTATATGATTAAGAAAATTATTAAATTATTAAATTATAACATATATTATATGATGGCTTTAGCATATATTACATGTATTTTTAGTAATATCTTTAATTTTTTAAAATTATTTAGCTGGGTTTTATAGTAAGAATTATATGTGTTAATTTATTTATTTAATTTTAGTTTTTAAATATATCATATTATATATAAATTAAAATTATACTCCCTCCGTTCCTTATTATAAGAGACATTTGATGCTTATGGCATGTTCCTATATATAAGAGACACTTAAAAGTTGTCTCTACTTTTTTGTATTGATTTTCTATTTTACCCATATTTATTGTTTCCAACTCACACTCTCTCTCCTTTCCACTTCTCTTTCTTTTAATAATTTACTATTGTTCTCTCTCATGCTCTCTCTCCTTATTAATGAGGGCATTTTTGAAAAAAAAATTATATATTTTACACATTGATTGTTCTTAACTAATTTTAATTGTTTTTTTGAACAACATAATTCGGTTATTCGTCTCTTATAATAAGGAACGGAGGGAGTAATAATTTGTGATGTGTGTGCGTGTGTATACGGGAGAACGAGGGAAAAAGTGAAGGGGGAAGGAAAATGTTTGAGGGGAGTGGGATGGGGTGCAGAAAGGGAAGGTCAAGCCATAGGGAGTAGGCGGCAGGCATTTTTACCAAAAAAATTATTTTAAAAAAATGAAGCTGCAGAACTCGTTCTTTTAAAGAACGAGTTCTGTGTATTTTTAAAATCGCACTTGCCTTGAACGATTTTGGATGTAGTATGCTGGTAAATAATTTTCATAGTGTAGTATCCTGGTAATTAAAATTACTGTTTGTAGCATTTGGCTCAAAAAGCCGCCTTTCTTGACATAAATGTAACAGTGGGCTTTTCTTGACATAAATGTTTCTCTGGGAGGGATCCATCTGTATGGAGAATTATAGGAGCCTCCCCTGAATAAATTCCGCTACGTATATCCATCCTTCCGTGTGTCCCAACACGTACGCTTGAGGGAAGAGGTTTCATTAGGAGACTTTCTGGTGTGTTAATTCTTTGCCTCATGCTTTGAGTTCCAGATCAGATCATCCCACCATTGGCAACGAGGGAAAAAAAAAGTAGTAAGCTTTGAGTGATTAATGAAAGATGAAGCCAAACCTTGTTGGCATGAGAAGGGGATACGAGTGAATAGAGTTGCATCCGTAAGGACAACATCAGTGGACAACGTCGGACCCTCAAAGTTGACAAAATTTGTTATTGTTATGGCGTGTGCATTGGCAAGGCAATAGAACACGTCAAGTTTAAGATGGAAGACAGAAATAAAATTCTAAATATAAATTACAAACAATATTTCCTCCCCATGTTACTCTCTTTCTTGCAGATCTTCATTATTGCAGCTCTGAATCATTCAAATGAAATTTAATAATATAACTTAAATTATATATTTTTAAAATAATTATTACGCATAAATCATTACAATTTACTATTTAACAGAGAAAGGTCAATTTAATTTAATTATTTGTAATAAATACTCATTGTCTATCCTACAATAATTTTGCTAATCATATATATATTAGCTAAAACTATCATTTGATAAAATCATTAACATGTACAACTATTACAAGAACTAACTTGGAGAAAAATGGATAAATATGAGAGACAAAGTGAAATTAAATGTTAAATCAACACATATATTAAGGACAAAAGGTACTCCTCTGGTTCTATTTATAGGGCAGATAGAAAAGGTTTTTTTAGATCCTATTTATAAGTCACTTTATTAAATTTTCAGCGTGAATGTACTATTTTGTTCTTCATCTATTATAGTGTAGGGAGTTATCTTTTTTGAAAGGTACATATATTAAATAAATATAAAGTTGAAAAATTATTATATTTTAATAAAGTTAATGCATTTTAAAATTTTTTTTGGTGCGTGTGAAATATGTTGAAAGTGTTTTATAACTAAGATTAGAGGAGCAATACATTATTTACTGGGGTAAATTTTTTTATTGTTGGCAACTTGGCATTCTCATCGCAATTGAAGGGATTAAGGTGAAGAAGGCATTAATTATATACATACCCCACACAGGAACCCTTTGGTTGGAAACTTGAAGAGAGTGGTACTTTGTGCTCATTAATTGCCTGCGCTCACCTCACAAACTTCACATTGAGCCAACAAAACACCCATTTATTAGTTTCATTAATCTACTAGCTTTCTGTCCCCCCTGGCGACACCCCATTGAACTAGTTTTGTTTTCATGAATCTTTTTATTTTTTGAAAACATGATTATTTTTACATTTATTGCAAACAATATTTAAAAAAATAGATAGAAGTAGTAGATGATAAGTATCAATTCGAGGAGAGAATGAGACGAAACTATATACCCCATCATATGTTTTCTTTATTTCTAAATACAAGTGAATGTGAGGGGGGGAGAGAGAGAGAAGAACATGGACAACACTTTGAAGAGATTTTTTTTCCTTTGCCAACGCACTTTGAAGAGAAATTAAGGAAAGTAGGAAAAGGAAAAGGAAAATGGAGAAGAGAGATTAAAACATCTGATGACATAATGCAAATGTTTGGTTTAGTTGGAAGGTGGTTAGTTGGATTAGAGGAAGAATAATGACATGATTAAGTGCGCAAATCACTTTTCAACACACACAAGGAAATTAAAAGAGAGGCATACCCCAATGACATGTGGATTTATACATTACCTTCCCTTCCCCTTTCTCTTTCTAGATATTTTGCGTCTCACATTTTACTTTTCTTTTCATTTTCTGCATTCTCTTTAACTTTTACCAATATAATGATACTCGTGTCTATTTTAGTGGGATTCACTACAGTGCATACCTCACCTTTCGCTTCTTTCCTTTGCTTTCCCTCTTTTGTCTTTGTTCTATTGTCAAAATTAAAGCCACCCAAAAGAAATCAAACTTCATTATTTGCTTCCCTCCATGCGTATAAATGTACCTACCATTATTTATGTATGTAATGTCTCAGTGGAACAAGAACCTCCCTTTATTATTTCCAGGCTTAGTATTATTGGTTTAGTATTTTTAGGTTGTAGTAGGGGCAAAAACAAAAGGCAGAGTGGCCTTCATAATTCCTTGCCTCACTAAATACGTTTCCTGTAATCACTGCATTAAGACATAATGTTTAACTAAACAATTAGCTACTTAATAAGAGAAAAGCATCATAAGAGAGAGATGGAGACAAGTGCAGAGACATATAAGAAGTAACAAAACACGCAAAATGATAAAATAGTCTCACGAAATGGTTTAATTACATTAAAGCATCCAAGAACTTTTTTAGAATTTTTTTTCCCCTGTCAATTTGCCTTACTACCCTTGTGTGAAAAAATCTCTCCATTGGTGGTAATGAGAGCTCGAACAACGGTGACCGGACACGGCAGGATCATTTTGGAATTTGCCTATTACAATT